AGAAGCCACAACATTACTCCTAAAGGCTTAGAAATCAGAAAACCTTTCACTAAGTTAATGAACTGTGATTTTCAGTTATAAGGAAAACAAAACAACATGGCACAGTAGTTAAGTATCATTACAACTATTGAACAACAACATATTAAAAATGCATCTTAAAAAACAAAAAACAAAAGCTTAACAACATCAAATTTGACATTAGACCAGGATCAAAGAAAGATATTTTCTTTGCTTAGAGATTGTTCCTGCTTATACTATCTGTCAAATCAAGATAAAACAACTTGAAGTTAAGCACTGTTGTTGGAATCATAACAAAATGTAGACTTTTTGAGAAGTCATCTATAATACCTTTATTTCATCTATAATCCCTTCCTTTGTGCCTAAGAAAATGAAATTGTTTTAGAGACCAATAACTGAAATAGAACAAAGAATTAGAGTGCTCCTAGTTATTCACAATGGTACTGAGGCAACATTAAGAAGATGAGTGTGTGAAAACAGGCAGCTATAATGGAAACTATTTTTCAACCTTAACTGTACCTGGTGCTATCAGACTCTTGATCCGATATTAATTTCTGCTGAGGTTAACATTAGGAATTTTGACTTAAAAGGTAAGTATTGACTGAGGTGAAATTAAGGTCAATAGAGATAGGATAAATGTTGATGGGCACAGAAACTTCAGGTCAATAGAATTAAATAGGCATGGTTTCAATGGTTTCATCAGAAGTATCTGTAATCTTTTTTTGGAAACCTCTCTCTCTCTCTCCCTCTCTGCTGATCATGAATTTGTGATACTTTATACTTTTCTAGTTTTTTTAATGTCCTTTTCTTAAACTAATGGCTAAATTTGAGATTGGACTTATACAGGTATAATAGGTCATAAATGCTTATATATGTACAATCTAATTAGTTATTATAGTGAAAATATCCCAATGAACTACATCTCTGAAACTCATAGATCTGTCATGTGACTGGTTTTAGACATGTATTTTTATATAACTTTACAAAATGAGAGTTTACACACCATGATTCTTGAAAAAAAAATTAAGTTATATGGAATAGGATAAAACATCGTTATAATCATTACTTTTCCAGTCACATTTCAAAATCTTAATAAGGCCTGAAAGTAGTATAGGATTAGTGATAATATGAGTGAGGGGAAACCTGGAATTTTACAATAATGGGGCAGTAGAAATTATTTTGGATTTCATAGATTTCATAGACATTAGGGCCGGAAGGGACCTTGGAACATCGAGTCCAGCCCCCCGCCCAAAGGGCAGGAAGTCAGCTGGGGTCATAGGATCCCAGCGAGATAAGCATCCAATTTGCTTTTGAAGGTGTTCGATGTAGGTGCTTGAACCACCTCCGATGGCAGGCTGTTCCAGACCTTGGGGGCTCAGACAGTAAAGAAGTTCTTCCTTATGTCCAGCCTGAAACAGTCTTGTAGTAGTTTATGACCGTTTGACCTCGTCATCCCCTGGGGCGCTCTGGTGATCAGACGTTCCCCCAGATACTGGTGGTCGCCTCTGATAAATTTGTAGCTGGCCATCAGATCACCCCTGAGCCTGCGCTTTTCCAGGCTAAAGAGCCCCATGGCTCTCAGCCTGTCATCGTAAGGTCTGTTTTCCTGACCTCTGATCATGTGCGTGGTTTTCCTCTGGACTCTCTCAAGCTTCTCCACATCCTTTTTCAATTGCGGAGCCCAAAACTGGATGCAGTACTCCAGCTGCGGTCTCACCAAGGCCAGGTACAAGGGGAGAATGACATCCCGGGATTTGCTTGAGAAGCATCTATGGATGCAAACCGGCATTTTGGTTGCTTTACTAGCCACAGCATCGCATTGCAGGCTCATGTTCATCTAGCGGTCAATGATGACCCCCAAGTCTCTTTCTTCCATAGAGCTAGCCTGCGTAGCACTGCCGAATCTATAAGGGTGCTGCAGGTTTTTCCTCCCAAGGTGAGGATACTTGCATTTTTCAGTGTTATACACCATCAGGTTCTCGTCTGCCCATTTGCTGAGGCTGTCCAGGTCAGCCTGGATCACCTGCCTGTCTTCTGGTGTGGATGCTTTGCCCCAAAGTTTGGTGTCACTGGCGAACTTGGCCAGTCCGCTTCTGACTCCAGTGTCCACACCATTAATGAAGATGTTGAACAATATGGGTCCAAGGACAGAGCGTTGGGGCACCCCACTGGTCACAGGACACCATGATGATTGACTTCCATCAGTCACCACCCTCTGGGTGCAACCACAGAGGCAATTTCCCAGCCAGTGGATCGTAGTGGACCCAAGGCCACAATTGGCCAGTTTTGTGAAGAGGTGATCATGGGATACCAGATCAAAGGCTTTTTTGAAGTCAAGATATATGACATCAATCTCTTCTCCCTTGTCCATGTGATAGGTCAGCTGGTCGTAGAAGGAAATGAGATTGGTAAAGCAAGACCTACCTGCAACAAACCCATGCTAGCTATCCGTTAGGATGTTGGCGTTGGCCAGTCCATTAAGGATGGCCTCTTTAATAAATTAAAGAGTTGAAGTTGGGGAGAAAATTTATTTATCATCAAATTAGATGAAGTTGGGGAGAAAATTTACTTCCCCTTTAACTTCTGTGAGGTGAAATAGGCATAGCCAAGTATAAAATTTGACTCAAAGATATGGTAAGGTTCTTTTGGTGCTTCATTTTTGAGAACAAAAGAATTGATGAATGGTTGGGGAGGGGGGTGAGGAGGAAAAGCAAATAGAAATATTTTTGAATTAACAACTTCACTGATGTTTCACCAAATTAGTACATCCATTGCATGATGTAAATTTCTAGTATATATTTCTTTTGTTCCATGTGATAGCAAAAAATGAAGGGAACATTGCCCTGCAATTAGATGGAGGCATCAGAAGGGAAACGTTTTAATTAAACTTATGAAGATTATTGTTGCCGTTTTATTAGTAGTATAAATTATTATAGGGATACAGCCCTACTGTCCTAGTCAGTTGTCTGGTTTTTGTGTCTGCATGTACTAAACAGTGTTCAGACTAATTTGGTTCCTTCATCAGGATAATCAATTGTCTAGTTCCTTCACTCAGGGCAAACTAAATGGCCCTCATACTTTATGTGTCTGACATGTAAGGTATTGCCTCTTGAGCACTTGTAGCCAACAGGAATGAAGTAAAGAACTGGTAAGAGCCCACAACATATTGTTACAGTAAGAAGCACAAATACAATCCTGATTCCTTTACGGAAACACGTCCTCCAAAAGTGTTGCCTGTCCTTAGCTTTTCTACAAAAAAAACAGTGTGTCCTCTGTTTTCCTAAGGAGAGCATTGAGCTATCATTGTTGCTAATTCTTCTATATTAGAATTTTATGACAGATGTTCTCATCTTGCCAAACAGGGATTTGCCAACTTGCATTGCAAGTATGGCAGCCCTACAGATCCCATGGGTATTGCACTGTGTTAGCCTAACTCTTGTTTTCAGGATGGCATTAATGTCTCTTCCAGCTTGATTCATTTGAATGGTTTTAAAGGGTCATTTTTAGCTGGTGAGAAGCATACTTAAATGTAAGGTCTTGATTCAGGAAAACTATGTAGAAAAGTGCTGAAGCCCTTGTTTAAACTCTGTGTGTTTAAATACTGTCCTAACTGTAAAGGACTTAAGCAAGAGTTTAAATGAATTTCTGAATCTTGGCTTTTGTACTCTCCTTTGTACCTCAGAATCAGTTTATTAAATGTTTGTGTGAAATATCTCCACTGAGCGGTTTTGAGAAGTGAGGGAGCTGCTGCTAAGTCATCTTTTCCAACAAGCCATGTTAACAAAACCTTAGTCATGCCCCACACCTTGAATAGCAGATGGGATTCTCATTATCCCAAATCCTGTTTGTCCAAAGTAAGTATCAGATGCACCTCTTCCCATGTCTTTGGATAAACAAGTCTCTACTGTAAACCACAGTTTATAATGCGTTTTATTAAATATGGCCTCCTGGTGCTTCCTCTACTAATAGAATACAAAGCTATGAAAGTTTTAGATAGTCCGCAGTGCATACAATAGGAGACAAAAACCCAGACTACACATTATGAATCTGTTTTCTGTTAATGCAGACGTTATAATTCATCTTTCAAGTCAATTAGTCTGCTGGTAGCTTATGGGGAAAGCACAGACTTTAATATTTCCAATAAGCCTGATTATAGTCAGCTGAAATTTGAAACAGTTTTAAAGCAGGGAGGGAAATTAGACTGGGACTAACAGTCACCCAAAATTAACAAGCCTCACATAGCTTCATTACCTTGAGCATTTCTGTAAACTATTTCAGTGTTGTAGAATTACCTATTGGAATTTAAGTGCGCAAGTAGGGGATGTGTAGTTGTATCCCTTTCCTGCCCTCCCCCCACCCGCCCACCTTTATCTTTGCATTAAAGTGGGTGTTGCTGTTGTAGATATATAATAATGTTAAAAGTGAACAATAGGCATTGGTGATCTCTTTGCTGCCTGGACTGCATTCCTTAAAATATTACAGCATTTGTCACTTTCTGTAGAAGGATTGATTGCAGTTGTCTCACAGCAGCTCTGCCGTGTGACATCAGAAGCATTTAAAGAGAGAGAGAGGGGAGGGAGAGATGGTTTGAACATGTGTAAATCAATCCATTTCATAATCATAATCAAGATTTGCTTTTCAGAGTGAGACAGTATGATCCATGCTCTTTCTACATTTTTTTTTTTAATTTGGAAGAAAAAAAAAAGGCTTTCATTTTGAGAAATGCAGCTTCCAGCAAATGTCTGGTCACAAACATGCTGGTGGAAGCAGGCTAACATAAATGATTATTTATGCTCCCAAAACTATTCCCTGGTCCAAACAAAGAATCTGAGCATATTCTGCATGTGGCATAGGTATATCAATATGTAATGCCTGTGTAAGTTTCAGAACAGCACGTATAATTTAACTTTGTTCCTCAGAATGTCCCAGCACTTAATCTGTCCAATAACTTACATTGGGAGTGTAACAAAATAGAAACTTACAAAGACTACATGTGTGCCTTATTGTGGAGGGGCAAGTCTGGAATTTGCAGTGTTTTGCCATGTATCCTTGGTTTCATATTCCTCTTGCCAGATCACCAGACCAAAACAACTGCCTAGGCACAGATGAGATACAAAGAAAAGTGTAAGATTTTGTAAATATAGTAAGATCACACTGGTGTTTATATAAGAATATTCTTATAAGCATATTATAGTAAGAATTTGTGTGTGTATAGAAGCTTTGCAACTTGAACATATTTTAGTATGCTTTCCTTAACTCCCTCATCTGCAGGAAAGAAGTAGCAAAGGTATCATTAAAAATAATAAAAAAGTTCTCTAGTCTTGATCATTCTTGTATGGCTAATGGGCTTGAAAAATGACAGGTTGGGTGAAGGTCAGCTGATGTAATGGATGATGTTAGCAAAATAGAGGCTCT